AGTCTATGGTTTTCTTTTGAGTCCTTGTTTGGTTTTGATATCAGGGTAATGTTTGCCTTCTAAAAGGAGTTTGGAAGAATTCCCTCCATTTCACTTTTTGCAACAGTTTGAGAAGAATGGTTACTAATTTTTCCTTAGTAGTTTGATGGAATTCTGGGAATCTATCTGGTCCTGCACTTTTGTTTGGAGTCTTTTTATTACTGATTCAGTCTTACTATTTGTCATCGGTCTGTTTAGTTTTTTCTGTTTTCATGATTTGATTTTGGTAGATTACGCATGTCCAAAAGTTTATCTGTTTCTTCTGGGTTTTACAATTTGTTGGCATGTATTTGTTTTTAATAGTCTCTAATGATCCTTTATTTTTCTGTGTTTGTTAGTTGTAAAGTCTCCTTTATTATTTCTAATTTTATTTGGGTCTTTTTTTCTTAGCCTACCTAAAGATTTGTTGATTTATTTGTCTTTTAAAACAAGTAATACTTTGTTTCATTGGTATTTTTCATTTTTGATTTTGGTATCAAATTCTGCTGTGATGTCATTTCTTATAATTTTGAATTTGATTTGCTCTTGATTTTATATATCCTTAAGATTTATCATTAGGTTGGTTGTTTGAAAAAAATTTAATATATTTAGTTGGTATAAAATTTCCTTAGTATTGCTTTTGTTGCATTTTGTAAGTTTTGGTGTGTATCTTTTTTCATTTCTTTCAACAAATTTTAAAACATCCTTTTTGATTTCTTCAATCACCCACTGTTTGTTTAGTAACATGTTAAATCTACATGGATTTATACCATTTCTGAAATTTCTTTTTTTTCCCTAGTTTTATTCCATTGTGGTCAGAGATGATGCATAATATTTTTCTTGAAACTTATTTTATGCAATAATATATGGTCTATTCTGGAGAACATCCCATGTATGATGAAACACATATATAAGCTGTTGGGTTCTGAAATGTTCTATAAATGTCTAAGTCCATTTGATTTATTATGTGATTTCTTTCTTTTTTTGGTGGGGAAAATCTAGATGATCTATTGATGAAACTTAATTATATATCAATGAAATTCAGTGTGATATTTCCAAACATGCATACAGCATGCATTGATCAAATCCACAACTCCTAGTTTCTAGTAGTCGCTATTCTACTTGATGGTTTTTTTTTTTTTTGATTCCACAAGAGAATGTCTTTTTGTGCCTGGATTATTTCACTGAACATAATGTCTTCTACTTCCATCCATTTTGCTGCAAATGACAGGGTTTCATTCTGTTTTATTGCAGAATAATACTCCATTGCGTATATATATATATATATATATATATATATATATATATATATATACTTTTAGTCATTTATTTGATGGGCACCTAGGTTATTGTGAATAGTACTGCAACAAATACGGACATATAGGTATCTCTTTGGTGTGTTATGGTTTAAATGTGAGGTGTCCCTCCAAAGCTCATGTGTGACAATGCAAGAATGTTTAGAGGAGAAATGATTGGGTTGTGAGAGTCTTAACCCAATCAATGAAATGATCTCCTGATAGGGATTAACTGATTGATAACTGAAGTAGTAGGGTATGGCTGGAGGAGGTGGAAATTGGGGGCATGGCTTTGGGTTATATATTTGTATCTGGAAAGTGGAATCTCTTGAGAGATCTGCTTTCTGATCACAATGTGAGCTGCTATCCTTTGCAACACTCTTCCACCATAATGTTCAGTCTCACCTAAAGCCCAAAAGAATGGATTCTGCTGTCTATAGATTGAGACCTCTTAAACTGTGAGCCCTAAAATAATCCTTTTCTCCTTTACAGTTGTTTTGGTTGGCTCTTTCAGTCAGAGCAGCAAAAGAGCTGACTAAAACAGTATGCTTTTTCATTTCTTTTGGATATATACCCAGATATGAGACATATGGATCATATGATAGCTCCAGTTTTACTTAAGAACCATGATGGCTTTACTAATTTACCAGCAACAACATATAAAAGTTCCCTTTTCTCCACACCTTTCCCAGTATGTTATTTAATTGTTGTTTGTAATACTAGTCATCTGGAGTGAGAGGGTATGTCATTGTAGTTTTGATTTGTACTTATCTGATGGCTAATTATATTGACACATTCTTTTGTGTATTTGTCAACATTTATATTTATTTTTTTGAGATGTGTTTACTCAGATCATATGTACACTTTTGAATTGGATTATGGATTTCTTTTAAGAATTTGGCATCCTTATATATACTGGATATTAGCCCTCTGTCAGATGTATAGTTGGCAAATATTTTCTCCCATTCTGTAGCTTGTCTATTTGTTGTTTGTTGTCTTTGCTGTGCAGATTTGTAGGCTGTCAATTTTTGCTTTTGTTTCTTGTGTATTTGAGGTTGTGTCCAGAAAATCACTGACTTTAGCAATGTCTTGAAATGTTTCCCCACATGTTCTTCTGGTAATTTCAGTTCTGACATTTAGGTATTTGAACCATTTTTGAATTGGTTTTTGTATAAGATGAATGATAGGGGTCTGTTTTAATTAAGTCTAAATGTAGACATTTATAATTTTCCCAAAACAATTTATTAAAGAGGCTGTCCTTCCTCCAGTGCATAATTTGGGTAACTTATTAGAGAACTAGTTGGCTGTAGACGTTTGGTTTATTTTTTGGATCTCCACCCTTTTTTATTGGTCTGTTTTTATGCCAATACCATGCTGTTTTGATTACTATGGCTCTTAGTATGTTTTGAAATCAAGTTTTTTTTTTTATGCACCCAGTGTTGTCCTTTTTGCTCAAGGGTCTTTTGTGCTTTCACATAAATTTAGAGTTGTCTTCTAGTATTGGTATTGCTTTGAGTAGTATAGGCATATTAACATTAATCTTTCCAATCCAAGAACATGGGAGGTACTTCTTTTTCTTGGCTAAGTTTATTCCTAGGTGTGTTTTTTTGTTTGCTTTTTTGAAGTAGAACTGCTGTCATAATTTCTCAGGAAATTCATTATATAATTCATTATATATTTTTTAAATTTTTGTACCCAGCTATTTCACTTAATTTGTCAGTCCTAATAGTCTTTGTTTTTTTTCTGAATATACAATCCTGTCATTTGCAAACAGAGCTAAATTGACTTCCTCCATTCCTATTTGTATGTCTCCCCCCTGCCCATTTCTCTGAAAATTTGAGTGTCAAACTTTCAGTTCTAAATCCAATCTTGTCAGGTCTTTTGGTTATAGCAATGACAAAGCTGATTAAAATACATTATTATAGGAAAAGTATTATCTCTATTTTAAGGTAGAATGGAAGGGAAACAACCTGGTATCAGATTAGGGTTTCAGCTGAAGGTGTCTACTAAACAAGAGATATAAGCATTAAAGAAAATATTACATATACTTATTATCAATACATGCAAGCAACAGTGCCATTTTTTTTTGTTTTTATGTAGCCTTATTTTCCCCTTAGTTGTTTAAAGACAGAGATTAAAAAAGAAATGTTTTCTATCACCAAGGTCTATGTTATGGTTTGGATGTGAGGTATCCCCCAAAGGGTATTGTGATACAATGCAAGAAGTTTCAGAGAAGAAATAGTTGGGCCACAGAAGTCTTAACCCAATAAGTGAATTAATCTTCTGATGGGATTGAATGGTAACTGAAGAAGCATGTGGGGTATGGATGGAGGTGAGGGCATATTTGGCAAGCAAAGATCTTTCACTTTGCTTCCTGATCATCATGTGAGCTGCTCTCCTCCACTGAACTCTTCCACCATGGTGTTCCACCTCACCTTAAGCCCTGAGGAATGAATTCTGCTGTGGTTAAGATCTCTGAAACTGTGAGCCCCCAAATAAACTTTTCCTACCCTATAGTTGTTCTGGGCAGATCCTTTTGTCACAGTGGTGAAAAAGCTGACCAAGACAGTCTAGAATAGCATGTATCAATAAAAACTTAATTGCCTGATAGATTTTTATATTTTAACACTTGTTTTCCCTTACCATTCTCTTTCAATTATTTTTTGGAGCCCCTTGTGATTCAGTTTCTTGTTTGTATTAGCTCATCTAAAATTTTACTTCTACTCATTTACTGTGCCACCAACCATTAAACTTCTCTGTATTCATGCATTTTAATGACTTTCTGCTAACCATTCATCCCATTTTTGGGCAAAGGTATTAAATATTTTTATTCCTAAAAATTTTAGGCATTAACAATAGTAGTTATTGTGAGCTGCAGAGAAAGGGGTATTTCTTGATAGCATCCATTTTATTTGCTCATGTTATTTCATACTTTCAGCCAGTTCATTCACTTCTTATCAAAAGGTCACAAGTTCTAAATTTGATTCCAAGTTATTACAATCTAAAATCAAGCCTAAATGAAAACAATTACCATTTGACTCTTTATGTCTATAAACCTGCATCTTATAAAATGTAAGATTAAACTACAGAAGATATATTTTCTTTGCCTTGATGACAATGTTAGGAAACACTTTGAACTGTGTGAAAATATATTTTTTTCTTTGCTGTACAATGAGAACAAATTAAAGGATAGTCATTTAATACTATTGAAACACATATATATGTATGTGTGTATACACACACACACACACACACACACACACACACACACACGGGGATTTTAAAGATAAACTTTCCAAATTACACCTCCAAGCCTTCTACCAATTCTGCCATAACCTCTGACATTATGCAAAACTGAAGCTCAAGGAGTTCATTGTATTAAAAAACGTTGGGCTGGAGTTGTGGCTCAGTGGTAGAGCACTTGCCTAGCATGTGTGAGGCACTGGGTTCAATCCTCAGTGCCACATAAAAATAAATAAAATAAAAGTATTGTGTCCATCTAAAAAACTAAAAACATTTAAAAACAACTAAAAACATATATAGGAAAAATTAGAAAGCAACTGAATGCAATGTGTAACGGTGACTCAGAAGCCAAACAGGATTAACTAAGGGCAGGCAACATGGAACTCATGAGCACTCTTCATTTCAGCAGGAAATCTTCATAACTAGAATAGATACTAAAGGAAGTGAACATTTTACACAACTTTATTATTCAGGGAATAGAACTTGTTTACTAACAGTATCTTGGTAATGAATTTTTCTTTGCATTAAAATAGGCCGTTTTCAAAATACAACCTGGTAGGAAAATAGAAGTTAAATACTTCCAGCAGAATTGATGAAGATATGTTTTTAAAAGTTTTTCGACAGAAAAAATAAGTCATTGGGTGAAGGATATATTACATCCTTTTGATTCAATGTTATGTCACACAAAGTATAAAAACACAAAAAAGATAACTTCTAAATCTGAAAACAATGAGTTTAAGTCTTTTTAAAGGCAAAATTCTTATTTCTTTAAAATTTAGGTATAAATTAGTATCAGTGTATGTACATATTGCCCAAACATAAATATTTACACTTCTCAAAGTGGAATTGTGGTCCTTGCTACCAAGTTAGAGCACATAATTTTCTGAACTAAGGTAATATACTTTTTTTGATTCCCCTTTAAATGAATTAAATTTGTACAAATGAGACTTGAATGAGTTTTAAGAAGGAAAACATATAGCACTCATGAAAAACCGGTCATATTTAACACATTAACCTGAAGAGCACTAATGTCATGGTGTGTCTAAAGTCAACTGGGTACTCTGGTTGAAATGATTCACTCTTAGACCATTAGAAGGTCTCACACAGTCAATTAAATTGAACTGATGATTCTTTGATAGATAACTTCTAAAACTACTGAAAACTATGAGTTGAGTCTTTTTAAAGGCAAAATTATCTTATTTCTATAAAATTTAGGTATAAATTAGTATCAGTGTATGTACATATTGCCCAAACATAACTATTCACACTTCTGAAAGTGGAATTGTAGTCCTGACTACCAAGTTAGAGCACCTGATAGGATATGTCATTCCTGGGGTGCAATAACTCCTGATAAAAATGCAGATTCTGCATCTAAAACATGACTCATTTGGTAAATGATTTTAAAAATATAAAAGAGAAAAAACCCTACTCTAAACGCTCAAAGATCCAAATCAGCATTAACTATATCCCAAGAAATTTCGCTGTGAGGCAGAGATAAAGTTCATAGACTAAAACAACTCCCCAATGTCAATATTTCTCTGATGGGACTGTGAACTCTGTAGAATGGCATTTTATTTAACAGACAGCATGGAAGTCATACATATCCATTATCAGTGCCTTGAAAATCAAACAACTTTAAAAGTTAGCAGCAGTTTCTGCAAGTACAAAAATACACATTTATTACATAACATGTGGTAATAAAATTTGTCAAGATATATTATACAAACTCAAAGCATTTTAAAGCATCAGTCTAATATATTACAGATTGATGAAGTATAATAAAATGACATGTAACCTGCTTCAAATCATATAATACTTTACAGCAATATTAACAGACTATTCACATTAAGTATCTAAGGGAGCAGAGTGGGAATAGTCATTAAAGAACCTTAGCAACTATTTTCTTCTATGCTTCAAATTAGGTGGGTAATTTTTCTATTTGTCAATATGAAAGAAAAAAGGCTACAACTATTATTTTTGGTAAGTACAGAAGTAAGTTATTCCAGAAAGACACTCTAAAAGCTTCATTCACATCTTGCAATTCTGCCAGTAGTATGCCTAAGGGTAAGGGGAGTCCCTGCTGACTTAATATATTAATTATACAATAAAAGATGCATATGGACATATAGTATTAATATGGGAGTGGTTGGTTATAAGGTGAAATCTACTTCACACATCTGTGACTGAGATGGCCAGTGTCATAAGCTCTTTGGACCTACAGGTGCTACCCCTAAGGGACATGACCCTGTTTGCACTAATCATTTTAATTACACCCTTTCCCCCACCATGTTCTTGTCTCTTGACTCTGGTTTACATAGATCTCTATTTCATATTATATCCATAGACCTTTCTTCTCTTTCTTTAAAGGTTATAACGGTTACATCCCCTCATCTGGAAATAAATTATCAGGCCTCCCCAACCAATTTGGAGGCATATCACTAAAAAGAGATGTGCATCTTCCTTCATTCTAACTATTCACCTATAAGAAGTTTCTTAGAACAAACAGGTTTTGATTTAGGGAAAGGTTTTACATGATTTCCTCCATTACCATACATGCTTTTCTTCTTAATGCTTTGATTAGTGGTCTTTTTTCTTGCCTACTTATTTAAAAACATCCCACAGAAAGTGGATGGTTTCTTTATACCATTCCCTTCTCTCTCCGTCTCTGATTCTTCAATTTATGATATGTTGGTCTTCTCAGAACACTGATCTCACACTTGTTGACACAGGTAGGCTTCTACAGAGGGCACTTTCTCTAGCCCTGTGCATGCATCTCTTAAAATCTCATAACAGGATCAATCCCACGTTTTAAAAAGGAAAAACCTCCAAAACATTAGATGCTGAAAATTTTAGTATACAGTTTTTGACAAGTTGTCTCAATAGAAAGAAGTGTTTTGTTGTCCTAAGTATTAGCAATGATTATCCTTATGTTACCTATCTCAGATATTTTATAAAAAGAGGTCATAATAATTACTGTCTTTATGTTATTATTAGCTAAGTTTCTGTTCTTGCAGACATCAGACTCTTACTGTGGTTAAATGTCTTTGGTTAAATGTCTGTCCCCATCATCACACACCACTACAGGCCCTGCATCTGGGCTATCCACATCTTCCACAGTTACAGAGCTGGTTGAGGCCCTTCCCCAAGCCAGGGAACCAGCAGAAGAGTGCCCTCCCCTCTCTCCTCTCTCGTGGGACTTTGTACAAAGCTTGAGTTTGCTTTCCACTAGGCTGAATGGAGAGCCACAGTGTTTCTCTGAATCCTGACAGGGATAAGAACTATACCACTGGGCTGTCTGCATAGCTCCAAATCCTTCAGCTACCTGGAAGGGTATGTCTTTCTGTCTTTCTTGCAGTGAGCTGGCATGAGAAGCATGAGGAGGTAACTCCAAGGGTACTTTTAGGGGACAGATTTTCTTTTCCTCTGGTCTGGCTGCCTTTACTTTCTTTTTGAGAGACCAGTTTTTCAAACTGGCCACACCATTTCTCAACCATGTGCTGGGATGAAGAGTTACAGAATGCATTTGTGAATGCCACTCTACAGTACTGTCCTTTTTTGTATAAGCTGGTTGATTGCTGGCCTGCCCTGTTGAGGGACCAGGCATTCCAGAAATGAAGCTAGAACTACTAAAGTCAGAAGAAAGCTCTTCTTGCTTTCTTTGAGCCTGAAAAGTGCAATCTATTGGAGAGGAAGTTTCAGTGGGCGTGAACACAGACTGTTCAGAAATCTGAGAAAAAGCACTGTCCTGGGAGCTTACTGAAGAGCCAGATGGGGAAGTGCCTGGTGAAGATAAGCTGGAATAGCTGGCTCGGGGGCCAAGGTTTAGTCTAGGGGGTAAAACCTTCTCAGTGCTTTGGTTTGTGGAACTGCTCTTGCCCACCTCAATCCCCATGACTAAACTCTGATTGATAAGCTTTTGCCCCTCCATTTGCAAAGACTTATGCCGTTTGAGATAATCCTCCTCTCCATGCAAGAGACCAGCTTCACAGCTGGTTTTATGTTGTTTCTTTGAATAAATCCCTCGGAGATAGGTCAGTTTGCAGTTCTGGTCATCTATGTTGGGCTCTGAGCAGCGCCGATGTGTCCTTGAACTCTTGAGGGCATCTGCTGTGTGTGGTGGGGAGTATCTAGATGAATCTGGATCAAAGGTTTGGTTCCTGGAATGATCCCGGGAGGGTATATGACTATAAGATGCCACAGAAATGGCCATGGGCTTAGACTTAGTGAAAAGTTTCACATGATTTCCTTCATTACCAGAGAAGCTTTTCTTCTTAATGTTCTGATTTGTGGCATTCTTCTCATTGACATCAGTGCCTGTTACTGAACATGTTCTACTCTCTTCCTGGAGAGACTGATTCTGCTTCAGACAGTCCTCATCTTTTTGAGAGAGGATTACATCACAGCTGGACTTGCGTAGCTTTTTCTGGTAAAACTCCCTGAGATAGGAAAGCTTTGAGTCTAGGTAGTCAATGCTTGGTTCTGAACAGCGCCGGTGTCGCCGCAGGATTTTTGGAGCATCTGTTGTAGTTGTGGACAGGTAACTGGGTAAACAAGTGCCAGATGGGGCCCTGGCATGCTCCCCCAGTGCAGCCTTTCTATACATTCCTGAAATGTTCACCGGCTTTGTTTCAAGAGGCTGCTTCATTTGAATGTCTTCATCTTTAGAATGGTCTAAGTCAAAATCACTCAAGGTTAAAAGACCTTCCACCTCAGGCTGATCAAAGTCATAGTCACTTAGGGTTAAGACAGAATCCATACTTCTGCTACCCTGACCAAGTTTCTGTACCAAATCACTGCATGGAGCATCAACATCCTCATTTAATTCATTTTCCAAGCTGTCATAGGAGGAGTCATTCAGTTGGAAGCAAGAGATATCTGTCAAAAAAAGCAAACTATAATCAACAAATTTACTTACCAAAATATAGCCCATGCTGCCATCAAACTATGCTTAGATTAATGTTCTTTACATGTAGTGTTCAAATTCCTACTCTCAAGAAGGAAAAAGGATGTTTTGTAGTCTTCCTAACTGCTAGTGCAGAAGAAATAAATCTACTATACCAAACAGGTTTTTATCTGTTACTAATGAAATGGAATTTCAACAAACTAAAACCAAAAATGTTGAAAAATAGGAAGGAATTAATAGCAGGTATACTTAGATTTGAATAAGACTATCTTCTAACATAGATTGCTGGTGATTATACCTAATTAACTCTAGTCTTGAGGACATCATTAATTAACCCTACCAATTTCTCTTTTTCAAAGTTCCTTAAAGTTAAGTTCATTACCTTATTTAATCTTTACAACAACCACAGACATTATTATCCACATTTAGATATTGTTATCAGTATCTTCATCTATAAAATGTAGATGTGTGGAGGCACAGAATAACTGGCCAAAGATATATAAGAATTCATACTTTAGAGATTATATACCTTTGAATTAAGATTCCCCCAATGATCTAGTTGTTTTCAAATAGTTTCATAGAACAAAGAATAGCATCTCAGGGTCTACTAGAAGGAAGAAAAATCTCAGGCCTGGCTCTGGGCCTTCCATTCCAGTTTCAATCACTGAAGTTTATACATATATATAAAATACACACACACACACACACATATAAATTATACACACACATATATAAAATCTGTATGTGTGTGTACACACACACACACACACACACACATAGATATATGTGTATGTATAAGAATGTGTTAGGTTTCCTCAAAGTTTTATTTAAAATAAAGGCTTCAACCATCATGGCACAGCACGCAACTCACTTCCTGAACTTCTTAACCCCATCATGCTGTTAACATACCCTGACCTTCTAGCAGGCCTTCTAAAGAAGGAAAGAGAGCTCAGGGCCTTACTGATCTAGGTCAGAGGCTCCCTTCATTCTCAGAGCATCAGGACAACCACTGTCCTAGCATCTTCACAGACATCTGTCTAGTTCTTACATAAACCAATCCACTTCCTCACAATACCTGGGACATTCTCTCTAGTGTCACATCTCACTGAAACTTCTCCCAGGAGGGAAGTGATTTCTTCTCCAAATATCCTACAGCAATTTTCAATCAGAAATTGTATAAGCAGGGAAACCTAAACAAAAAAGGACAAAATTAAAGTGCCACTTTTCATGTCATATGTTTATAAATGTTCATATACAAATCCTGATTTTTTTAAAATAAGAAAATGCAAAAATTCTGAGAAATTCCTTTTTTAAAAGTATATAAAAGCATACTACTTGTATATTTTAAAAAGTTTCTCCTAAAAATCTATAATACTTTCAAGAGTAGTATGGGCACAGAAACTAATTTTAGTGCACTAGTTAAAATTATTAGTTTTGGTCTTGGTTTAATGATAACCCTTAATACCAGTAGCTCCTTCTTCAAAATGAGGGTAATTTCAAGTATTCTCTATAGGGCATTTAGGAGTAGAGAAATATATATTGCTATTAAACTTCATAAAATATCAAAAGATTTATAAAAGTATTTCTTGTATAAAGAGCAGGTTTTGTTATAAGTTTAGGAGGAGAGTTCATGAAGGAGAGAACTTGAGAGAAAACTTATGGTTTTCCTATCTAGTCTATATCCATGTACTGTCTTGTATTATACTCCCTAACTGGAGGCACTTTGGGGAAGAGGAAAGAGTTACTACTGAGCTTTGTGCCTCCCCTGAGACGTAGTAGAACCTTTCTGTATTTCCTTATCCTACAAGCTAAGGCCAAGGGGCAGGAGAAATGTTGGGGGCAAAGGGAACCGGTATTTCCAAACCCCTTATTAATAACTAGGCATTACAGGGGTATGATTTCTAGCAACTATTATGTCATCACCACCTCCTTATTTTAGATGAGGATGTTGTATATTTGGTAAGAGGTGGGTCTGAAAATTGAACTCTGGCTTGTCTTACTCCAAAGTCCTTATTTATTTTTTAAACAACTGCTTTCTTATCATCCTGTGATTTCAGTTAGTTCTACTGGTTAGCTTCCTTAAAGGGAAAAGAGAAATAACCGCTATAACTTTTCTGCTTACATCATCTTCCTATAGAATATCAGAATAGGAAAGAACACTCCATAGTCAGTAACTGAAACTTATAACTCAAATTTCAGTGTAACTATATACATAAGCTATTTTAAAAATTGTCTTTCAGAGTACCATGAATTACATTTTCAAAATGGGGACACAGTCCCCAGTCCCTTAAGGCATAAAAATGAAAATTTTAATTACCTTTTTTGTAAATTCACTTTCTAGTTCTGCGCTGGAGGAGGTAGGAGGCCAAAGAATGCTTGGAGCTACACATACTGCTAAATTAAATGCAGTCATCTGATTGGATGAGGAATGTTGCTCAATGTTACGTAATACTCCAAACAGATACTTTAGGAGAACAACATTGGCTCTTGGAAGCTGGTCTAGTAGTCTAAAGACAGAAAAGAAATACACTTTTTAAGCAAGATGTTTTATTAAAAATCCTATAATAAAGACAAGGCAACCCTCATTTTTTATGGGAAACCATGAAAATCAAAAGGGGTTTTCCAGAGTTTTAGTCATGTGTTACTATGCAAAGAAAGTACAGAAAAAAGGGAGAAAATAAGCAACGGATTTTTTTTTGTTTATATATTATCTTTATAATTTAATAAAAAACTGTAGAAAAATGTCTCAGAAAAATGATGCCTGAAATATTTCCTCTGAAACTAGTACAATGTGTTTTAACTTGGGTAAATATTGCAACATTTCAAAATATTCTCACAAAAAGCTTTTTGATAATGTGCTTCATTATTTTCAAGTAGCAACACAGGAATGCTTTCTGTTGGTAAGAACCCCAAATTAATCCATTAGGACTTCTAGGTCTATTCTGAGAGCCCGGGCCCTGTTCTAGTTGCTTCCAAGCTCAGTTTTCTTCTACATCTGTTATTGGTATTACTCTCACATATAAGCCAAGCTTATATTGGTATATTTTCTATTGTTCCTATTTTAAGGACTTTTAAGTGATCATTCACTGAAAATTATTTTTACTACCAGTGTGAGTGTGCATCTGTATGATATACATGCTGATATTCATGACTCTTTTTTTCTATAAGAACCTGAAAACTTGAAGAAGGTAGTCTATTTACTACTGTACAAATAACAAAGGCCTTTCTTCAGCACAGAGGACTGACAAAGAGCAAGGTGATAGGGATGTTATGAAAGACTCTGAGATAGATCAGAAGATAGGGTGTAAATCAAACATCTAGCATATGATTTTGGGTTACCTGATTTTATAAGGGCCTTTGAGCTATTTTACAACTCTTTAACTTGAAGATAACTGACAACAGTTACCTAGTACTTGTTTATAGAATAAAATCCTGTCTGGTGGAGAAAAAGATTGACTTATCTTCATCACTGCCCTGGTAGAAAAAGCCAGATTTGTATGTCTCTGTAAATTCATTTCAGTATTTCTGATCCAACTGTTTTTAAGTTTTGGTACTTTGAAATCTCCTTTGAACTGGCTGTAACATCTTACTGATTTCTTCATTAATAATTTAAATAAAATCTTTCATAGGTTTATTTTATATTTGCATTAGTGTTATGATTTTGTCTTTTTTAAAAAATAAACATCATTTTTCAATTTGTAGAACATAATGTTTTGGACAAAGTATAAAATTTGAAGCTTACTATATATTATTGGTTCACACCAAACTATAATGAGAATGGATGCAGCATTTTGTTATGGCTTTCGTTTCTGGTGTCTTCAATAACTATACAACATTATACTGTTAAAAGATCTTAATCAATAGCAGTGTGTAATTGAAAGTTGTTCTAGATAAAACTAAATATACAAATAAATGATTAGGATTCAAGAATTTTCACAGTACTGGCATATTGCTTTTGTTAGTGGACACTTCTTTCCTGTTTTCATATAATGTAGGACATGTGGGTAGAAATGCAGTAGAGAATTCTACTGGAAACCTATTTTAAAACTGGTCCCCATGGATAAGACTTTAAAAATTGTCATTTTAATAAACAAGCTTAAAAATAAGTATTTCTATTTTTGAGAATGACCAAATTATAAAAACTACCTTTGAATTGTATTTATTTTCTCTTCATCGTTTCCTTGATCCATTACACAGACCCAGTGATCATAGAGATCTGATGAAAAAATACTTCCTGGAATATTTCGTAGAAAATCCTTAAACAAACAAACAAAAAACCAAATATTTTAAATCATTCTCATTGAAAATATGTGTTGGATAAATTAGAAAAGTTAAGTCTTCTTATTCTTTTAAGTACACAGAACTCTGTGCCAACTCTCTACTAACTTGTACTCACAGATCACGTGCTTTGATTTTTTTTTTTTCCTAACAAGAAATCACTGGGATAATTAAAGATGGGATTATGGTAGGAAAAATAAAAGACAATCTATTTGTGCTGAAACCTCCTATTTTGTATACATTTTAGCAAATTAGTACAATGTGACAGGATCTGGCAGTAAATTATCCTAAATCCTTTTTTCTATTTTTCCTTTTTTAAAATAGCTAGTTCAAGGAAAGAAAGGCACCAAGATATCTGTGAGGTTCATAAGTTGGTAACATTCAGTCACTCTATATGTAATTATTTATATATATGAGACAATGTTTGATGTGCTTGGGAAAGAGAAATAAATAAAAGTCTGTTATCTTAAAACAATACCAGTGGTGGTAATAATGTTCTACAACTTTTCTTCCTGTATTACCTCACAGAAGGTATCTCACGTATTTCAGGTGAGACAGAATTCTAGGTGATGTCTGGGTGATGTTTGGGAACAGTACTCCTAGTATATTATTTTCCTGGAAACTATTCTGCTGTCATCTTGGCAGGGCTAGGTGTAGTAAGACAGACTATGACACAAGTAGGATATAACCATGGGCATTGCTGTTTGACCTTTATTTACAAAAAGTTTAAAGAAAACTAAATGTGGTCCTGGACCTAAAGAGTTGGTTGTGGCTAATTCTGTGTTGATTTTTGGAATGGCATTAATAAGACCAAGGTTTCAGTCTGATCTCCACCTTGGTAAACTGTAGGCAGAGAGAACTCCATTTAGTATCTGAGTACTATACCCATGGTTGATGATCCTCTTGAAAATTCCTGTTTTCAATATTGAGACATATGAAAACCTGAAATTGGGCAATTTTAACTTGCTAGGAAAATAAATCAATAATTTTAACCATGTGCCTTACAGAAGGCAGCAATGTACAACCTGTTACTTACAGCTCAAATATTATTACTAATACAGGAATTGTGGCAGCTTATTTCTACAGTCAGCTAATTATGTGGGCATCTCCTCCTTTGCTAGAAGCTCTTCCAGGACTGGGACAGATCCTCAACCTACTTTGTGCACATCATCATCAAGTTCGGTCCCAGCCAGAGAAGAGACCATTAGTGAACTCTTTACTGTGTCACATGGTTAAATATTAATGAGGGACAAGGAAGTCAATCAACTATAATTGAGATGCTCAGATAACTTTAAGAACTTCTTTGTGGTCATGTTACTCTACTACCATAATTTTTAAAAATAGAGTGGCTAATAAGAAAAAGGAGTAATTCAAAGTCTTCCTCTGTCAAGCTGTTTTATTATATCTTCCAGTAAAAATGTGATTCAGCTATGTCATCACAAAAGTTACCTCTTTTTGGGTAAATCTACTGAGTTTTCATAATTCCAAACTAATTTTAGTTGCTGTACCCATTTTAAAATTCAGATTGGGAGAGGAAAAATCTGTTTCTTAAAAATGGGGTAGTGACAATAGCTCTTTTTAAATCTCAGTGGAAAACACTCTTATGATCTGTCTTGAAGAAAAACATCATTAAATCTTAAACCTACACTTGAAAGATAATAACTCGTAACATCTCAATGAACTCTCCCACAGCTGGAATAACAAGTTACGAAATAAAACCACCATTACAGCTGACAGGAATGTGAGAGCTGGTTCTGAATTACAACTAGTAACTTAAAGCACTGAACTGAAATTCTCCCTTTCAAAACCAGGACCTAGGTAATGAAAACTTTCTAATTCATCTGAGATTCTATAGATTAAATATGAACTTTTCATCTGAGAGATCAAAGTTATAGTGCCTCAAAAAATTTTTGTCCAATTTTAGTTTGAAGAGTTAAGCTTATATTTGAACAAAACCAATTGAATTGAAAAAATTAAAGGAAAACCTAAGTACCACTTCAAAATAGTCTTAAAAACAAGAAAACTTTTGCAAAACAAATTTTAAATTGATAGTTATCTTCTTTCCTAGAAACTATTTTGAATTAGATGGGAGTAAAACAATTACATAACAAAACGAGTTACTCAGAACCCATTTAACGTGACTCTTTAACCATTAGTGTCACTGTTTTTGTGTTTTGCATGTTTTTGGACAGTTAATATTCCTGTAATTTGAAACACAACTTAGCTCTTCTAGAACATGCTTTGCAATAGACTTAATAATTCAGCAAGGAACTTTTAAGAATTGTGGTGATGCAAAGAACATGGCAAGAAAAATTTTCTAACTTAGGCTTTACCTTTCTAAATTAAGAGATGGGTGAAAATCCAATTAAATGAAAAAAATTCATGATACACACACACACACACAGCATGCCATGCATATCTTTATTGTATTCCAGGTTTGGACAGTAATTAAAACTCTGTGCAAAACAGATTAGATTACTCTAGTTCAAATACCTCTCAAATGATATTTCATTGCATAAATTGACAGCAGGGTTTGTTTAAGGGTAGACTTGGCCCATTTATCAAGAAATGCCTGATTTTTAATATGAAGTTGGTTATATAAGCAGCTGGCCACTCAGCTGGAGTATATGAGTTTTCCTTTTTTTTTATTTTGTAGGTCCTGGGCTTGCAAGGTGGGACCATTACTACCCCTGGCCTAAATATATCCCAACCCCTTGAGAGATGGGAGTCTGAGACATGTGTTTGGCAACCATTGCTGGGTCAAAAGCTCTGCTTAAAGTTGATTTTTTGACCTGAGGTTTCCCCAAAATATAGGGCATTTCCAGGAGTGTAGGGAAGAAAATATTAGAACTCTCTATAGGTGTGACTTAAGTAAACATGGGTGAAGAGTAAGAATCAATGTGGTAAAGAGAAAAGAAGGTCCAGATGTTGCAGTCATTCCTACTCCACTTATAAAGTAGAAATAATTAGGGAATGAAGGGAAGGAATATTTGTGGACATGATTATGGAAATAGAATTTTCAGTGGCCTTCTAACTTTGTTTTAGTTGTAAGGCAAATATTTGTTTATTATGGTAAACTTCCGTAATTATCTTCAACAGCTTAATTAAAGTTTACTTTTTAAAATATTGTCTTCATTAGGAAAGCAGTGAGATAAGAAAACATGGTAAACATACTGTGTATATTTTGACTATTTTAAATTTTAATTAAATTTTCATTTTGTGGCAGAAGTGAAGATGAGATTATTGCAGGAGGGAAATAATTAAAGCATATCTGATATATCATATTGGTGGTAGCTTTAAATGTTGTAATTTTTTTTTAACACTTACATCCCACACCTATTATATCTCTTTGCAAACAGGAATAATGTTCATAATGAAACAAACCATGTGTCTTGTGCCTATGTGATGGGGTGCATAAAGGGTGAACTTTTCTTACCTTTAAGACAGACGCTATCACAAAAATAGATTCACAGTCTAGGTGCACTTCAATTCCAGAATTCAGTTTCTCTTTTAGCTCTCTGCAGGACTTCATATTGGCTGACTGTCTGAAGATGCCTTTTGTGAGGGGGCCTTTTTGATTAAGAAAGAAAAGCATGTCCTATGGGAAAACAAAGGGAAAAAACCCTAAATGGCACTTCATACATACAGAGGTCAGTTTGAAAGCCCTGAAGGATTAGAGACAGATGGATAGCTAGAAGGATCCAGAATCACCAACTTCTTAGAGCATAAAGCAGTGATTACTAGGGGCTGGGAACATGGTGGGGCTGGGAACATGGTTGGGGAGATACTGACCCCCAAGCACACAAAATTTTAGTTAGACAGGAAGAATGAGTTCAATTGATTTATTGTATAACATGGCAACTACAGTTAATAACGATGTATTCTTGAAAAATTGCTGAGTAGTTTTTAGTGTTCTCTAATTTTGCTTCTATCTCTGTACCCTGTACTTTTAGTGTAGGAAGTAAAGGGAGTTTTGGACACAAGCAATCTATGAGATTTGAAAGCTACGCCACTGATTTACTGTGTAATCTTGGGTAAGATTCTAAAGTTTCTTTCCTTTTTAATTTGTAAAGTAAGAATGATGATGATAATAATTATTCCTCCCTTAATTTGTTGTGAAGGATAAACAATAAAGTGACTTGTCCTAGTGTCTGGTACTTAGAGTGCACAATATAGCATAAAATGCCACACATTTACTACAATGTTAGGAGAACACTGGATATTCAATAAATGTTATTTATCAGTGATTACTTAATACACCAACTGGAGAAGATGCAAACTTAGTGCTTTTCGTTAGAATCTTTCTATATAGAAAAGATAACTAAATGCCAGGGGATACATCTTGATGTCCAAACACTTGAAATATAAGTAAACCAGTTTTTAAAACTTCAACAAAGGAAAGATTGTGAAGTTTCTTTTATTAAAATGTTAAAAATAAGGCTTTTCAGAATACTCTGGAGTTCAAGAAAGGATTTGTGGGGATAATGTAGATTCTTTGTCTACAGAGCAAATTCTAATTTATCTGAACAGGTTTAATATTGCTATTTCTTGGGCCAGTCAACTAGATCATCTCTTCCTTATGATTCTTCAATTGCTCAATCATATTTTAAATTTTTTCAGTAAAAATGAAGATTCTTAGCAAAAGGGAGGGTTATCTATAATTTTCCAATTTGAGGAGAGATTTACCTCCTAAGGTTCTCCCTTCCCAAACTTTCCCATTAGCTTACCTGCCCAAACAACACTCACCAAGACAGGTTTTGGCAGGTTGTCATTCTCACAAACATCTGGGAGAGACACTCCAAAGAGCTGTCCCGACATAGGAGATGTTGGTGATGTGGGCAAGTTGTCCAGATGAGTGCTAGAACCCCGCCAAAAGGCCCAGTGTATGATAGATCTTCTCCTTTTAAATGTCTTCTGACCAGAATCTAAGAAGTGAAATTATTAAGAAAACTTGTTTAATTCACTTAACCTTATTTCTAGAATTTCTATTTTATACTGTTACAATGGCTCAAAGAGAGAAAATGCTTATAGCTGTTCTTTATTACTGACAATACAGTCTATAAAATTTCACTATAGTATTTTACCAATTAAGGAAGAATTAAGTGTTTGGGTTCTTTTTCTACCTGCTTTTGGGATGTTACCAGACTGTTGGCTTGAGTTTTGGCACTAAATTTTCAAAGGTGAAAATTTCAACTGTAAAACTTAAAGCAAAAAGTAATTCATACCAATACATTTTCCCATTTTATTTATTTTTGTGGTACTAGGAATTGAATTAAGGACCTCACACATGGTAGGCAAGTGCAGTATTACTATGCTATACCCCAGCTCACATTTTTTCCAGTTTAAAGATTAAGGGCTGGGATTGTGGCTCAGTGGTAGAGCACATTTGTGAGGTGCACTGGGTTCAATTCTCAGAACTGCATATAAATAAATAAATATCCATCAACAATTAATAAAAAATATTAAAAACAATGAGTAGGGGCTGGCTCAACAGTAGGGCGCTCAAGTAGCACGTGCGAGGCCCTGAGTTCGATCCTCAGCACCACATTAAAATAAACAAAATAAAGGCACTGTGTCCAACTACAACTAAAAAAATAAATATTTAAAAAAATGAGTAGTCATACAAAAAAAGCTGAGGATTGCATTAGAATTAAATAGTGAGAAAAAGTAAGGAGGAAGAGCGAAGGAAAAGGGGGAAAGGAGCTGGGAGAAGGAATTATTTCTATTAAGTTGTTTTCCAGAAAAAAACAAAGCTTTATCATGGATGTCTCACCACTCTACATCTGAAAACAGAGATAGAAAGCTGATGTCCTAAAATTTTTCCTTTCTTTGCAAATGTAAAAACTCTCACCTATTTTTTCAGTTCCTAACTTTATGCACAGGTACAAACATGAGTGAATCTTGTCCTGGCCGCAGTGAATTTATAAGCTAATAAGAAACAAGGCTGGTGGTGGTGAGGAGAAAAACAGTATATTAATAAATAAAATGTTAAAAGGGGGAAACAAAATATCAAAGACATTCAGATGAAAGCAAATCACATCTACCCAGTAGGAGGGAGAGGAGTAATTCTGGAGGCATTTGCATTCCATTTGGATTTTGAAAGATCAAGATTTCAACAGATGGAACATCTGGCACCATGCTCTACATTAAAATTGAGAAGAACTTTATGTGGAAAAAGATATCATTAGCAAAATAAGCAGAAGAAAGAAAGATGGACAGTGAATTATGACTTCATGACACCATAGTGCCAAAACATTTTTGGTGTCATTTGTGTTTAACTTAATATGAAAGCTAATGAGTTTTCATATAATATGAAAATAAAAAGAGACCTTTAAAGTTCCTTTCTAAAAGTACATACAGCACTGAGTTTCTTCTTATGGCTTTTAGCATGAGGATAGGCGGTAAGAGAGAGTGCCAGAAAGAAGAAAACCTGATAGTGGGAGCCCAAGTACTGTGAATAAATTCTGTCCACATTCTGGCTGCTACCTGAAGTAGGCATTTGTGGGGCAGATTCTAAACAGCTTGCAATTAAGGTTAATAGCCACAATGCCACTCAAGGTATGATGCAAGTGAGACTGAATGGAACTGGTCATCAAACTTTGGCTGTGTGGCATTGTTTATGTGACAGACATACCTAGCACTGATGCTTAACTCTCCAAAATTCCCTGATAATGCAACTGAAGAAGATGATCCAAGAACAGAGTCAGCAGTGTCAAATACTAATTTCAATAAGTCTTTTATACTATTTGGTATAAAGTGATGCAGTACTTCATTTGTTTCAAAATAGCCAAATATGAAAAAGGCCAAGTTTTGTGAGGATAAGCTAACAAGCAACACCTTATCAAATGGCCTTATGATGACCATGATTCACCTTACCCTTATTTAGATCACAGTAATTATGTCATCTCTGTACACTCATGTGTGCAAAAGTTCGAAAGTCAGTAGCCTGGTCTGACTCCTGGTTCAGTCACTCATTTGGGCAAGTCATTTAACCTCTTTCTTCAACTTTAAAAGGAAAAGGATCTGTCTGACTTATCTCTCAAAAGTCTTATTCAGAGGGTTATGTAAGATAATGTGTAAAAAACACTATTTTGCATAGGGCATGGGCCAAAGTGATCTTGAGTAAAGCTGTCATAATACCAATCTCCTCTCAGCACTCACTCTCCATTGATTTAGAAGCCTTTAAGAGGTATGCAGACATGAAACAATATCATTCTTCTCCTCAACTAAAGCATTTTATTCCTATTCTGACATTCCCAATATCCACATAAACACACACACACACACGAAAACCTTTCTAAGGTCAGGGAGTTTCTGTATGACTAACAATCTGTGCAAATGTTTGTTTAATATATATGTTATATATACATTTAATACCTGTACTCAAGTCTGGTATGTGCATATTTAACCTGGTTTTACTATTTCTAAAACTATCATATTAGGCTTTTAGCTTTCATGCACTTTAAAAAAAATTTAGTTGTAAATGGATCTTTTATTTTATTTATTTATTTATTTATATGCAGTGCTGGGGATCAAATCCAGGGTCTCACACATGCCAGGCAAGTGCTGTACCACTGAGCCACAACTCTAGTCCCTAATGTACTTTTAAAGAATGCTCTATCAATAAGTTACATACTCAGATATCTCATGAATGTAGACAGAGGATAAAGTAGAAATTGAGTCCTTTATTTTATTCTAAAGACTTTCAGCTGCAGCCTTGCCTTTTGTTATGTTGTGTACAACATTCAATATGAAAGTTCAGGTTCCCCCTGGTAATGAGAAGAAAATTTCATTAAAGTTTACTTTCTTGCAGAGCTTACAGAGCATAGTGCTTACCTTTTAAATGTTGAAGGCTGATGAAAAAACATGCTATTGCCATAAAAAGGGTGATATAAATGTAAAGCAAGCTAAATTCATATAAATATGACTTTCCTAAATAACTCTGGCAAGATTTGGCTTAGTGTTTTTTCATGCTTAAATTAGAAAACTGAATATTTGTATTACAATTCATAAAACCTTATAGGTCACAACACCAAAAGGTTTTAATTAGAATTCTAGTCTGGCCATATGACTCTCTAAATTAAGAATATCACCCCCCACCCCCATGCTGCCCAGAGTAGGAAATTCACATGGGAGAACAAACCGAAATAATGGATCAAAAAGGTAGAAGAAAAATATGTGTTCTATATTTTACTGTCTACCATAAAAGTCCATTTCAATTCCAGTTTAGTCCTGAGTCTCAAGCAGATGTGGAAAGTCAGCCTGGGGGGGGGGTGGGGTGAGGATTGAAACTGGGAATCAGTTCAGGATGGAACCTCAAGAGCTACTTCAGACCCTACTCAGATCCTACTTAACCTCTGGAACTATTTCACTCCCCTACAGTTTTTCCATACTAGATGTACCTATGCCATTCAATCTTTGACTTTTGCTCAGTCCTATAYACTAGACTAAGCCCTGAGATAAGTTCCCATGCCTAAGAGGCTAACAGTCTTAAAGATACATGTAGACACATAAACAATCATAATGTAATTTTTTTGTGTGGTGCTGGGGATTAAAACCAAGGGTCTTGTGCATGCGAAGCAAACACTCTACCAACTGAGCTATATCCCCAACCCATAATGTAAATTTTTTATGTTACAATATGAAGTGCTCTGTAGACATACAGAAGGGGCAGCTACATGTCTGAAGAAACAAAGATACCCTAGAAATGATGTCTGAGTTGGGTTTTGAGAGCAAATATTTGAATGTTTACATCCCCATTTACTCTAGAGCTGTCTCACTGAGGATCAACCACCCCAAAGATGAGTGACACTAATCTAAGTCTCAAGGGTAGCCTTCTGAGAGACCAACTGCTATTCAGTTTTCAGTGTAAGACTATCTAGTAGTAGGAGATCTTCTCCATACGAAGTAGTCATTACCAACCTTTTTTTTCAAATTTCTATGTTCATTTAACAGGGAAATTTTTCTTAAGCTAATTATAGAAGGCATCTCTCAGAATGAATATATGGAGCTTTATCTGTCTAACTGGGGCTTATTTTATTCAGGAAATGTAAAAGTATAATTATTGTTCTCAGCTAACACTAACAGAAATTATCTTTTTTATGCCTTTACTAGCCATAAAAACAAGATACAATTTTCCACATTGGAGACCATGAAAACTATCCAATTCCTTGGACTAAGCAACTTAAGAATTTGAGTTGTATGGATTTCAAATATATAGGCCACAGGCAGAGTGTGATGGACAGGGAATATAACAAAGCTACACTTGGTAAATAAGGCCAAATTCTATAGTATGTGCTAAAAAAGAAGTATCAGTTCATTTTCCCTAGTAGAAGTCAGATCACTAGGCTGCTATATATGTGAAAAGGGAAGGGAGAGGAAATGAAGAATTTATTGTTGTTAAACTCATTTCCTCCTAAGAGGTTTCGTTTTTCATTTTGTTTTATGTTAGGGATGATGAGTGGGTCACAGAGGATGGGGAAGGTAGTAACAGAGAAGGGAATTTAAAATACATTAAATTTTGATAATCATATAGTCATATTTTCTATATCACAATGAAGCTGTGGGAGTACTACAAATAATCTCAATTTCTACAGTAGCATGTTGGCTTTAAATAAAAACAAATATCAAGAGCAGTAATAGTAGCAGTGGGAATGCTGACAGCAAGATAAACAATAACTATGTAAATAAAGTAGCCTGTTTTATGAAGTGAGTTAGTGTTAACAGACTCTCATAATGGAGTCATTAGGTTTCCTGTCCTTGAATCTCTGCTCTTGTGACTAGACCTATGTGAGGTTTCAGCTTTATAATGCTGGGCACAGTCTGTCTGATCAGAGTAAATGAGTAATAAGGTTACCTTAAATGGTTGTTTTGAAGCACAAAAAATATTCTAAAAACTGTTCAGTTCTGTGTAGAAATAACTTGA